GGTGTCAGGACGCCGGTACTATGAATGCGCCCAATTGGTGCATCAAAATCCCAAAGGTCTTGATGAAAGGTCATTGCAGCCCTAAAAGCAGGTATATTGTCCGAAGTCCCTTTGTTGTCCCATAAGACGAGCTCTAATATTCAGAGGGCGGGATTTTGAAAATCAATTTTTGCAGAATAAAGTGAAGGAGATAGATGCCATAAATGGAAAAGAGGGTGGTGAAGTAGCTGATGAGGCGATATGGGAGGGTTTCACCACAAAAAAGCCTCAAGTGTAGCTCACTCAGTTGCGAAGCTGCGTAAAGAAACGCCCTCTGTGTTGAGTTCCGCCCACTGAACGAATATGTGAACGATGTCGGCGGAAGCTGATTCAGCCATCGATCGTCACGGTTCCCTTTCGCCCATATAGCGCATCGCCACAACTTCTCTGCTCCCATAGCAACTCGTACAACCCCTGGAACTAACTGTATGGACTAGGGCTTCATTCGCATATTTCCAACGATTCTTTCATGGCGCCACCGTTGGGCCTCTGACTACACCCACCTCCCTATCTCTGTTACCTTACGCATTACCAACATGCCTGTTTACCTCGATTTCACAACTTTACCTCCCTTTCACTCAAAATAGGATAACAGCAACTCTTCTCCCGTGTGTTCAGTCCAATTTATCGATTCGTCAGTTCTAGAGAAATCACTAACTGAGTGAGATTATTTGGCAGTCATTTTCCACAAATGGGGCTTCAATGAGTGGAAAGTGACTGGAGTGCCATTATTATTATAATTATAATACAATACTATAGCTAAGATGAACATTTTCAGATCAATCTCCACCAATACGGGAACGACTTCTGTTGACAGTGCATCGACATTGAAACATGGATCTCATCCGTCACGTGCTCCATTTGTAAAAGCTCGTACTGTTAGTCAAGGTTTAGTCGAAAGAATACCGTTACGAGAAATCGGAAGGGGAATGAGTTTACTGTAACTTACCCATGTGGGTAAATAGGCGTTGACTATCTGACAATTCCTACAATTTTCTAGTGTTTCTTGAGAATTTTTCCGAATGAAACCTATAAATTAAAAAACTGAAATTTTCTTGACTTTAAGTGGGTTTTGAAGTTGTATAGATGCAGATTTTCAAGGATCCGGTTGTTTTTACTTCGTATTGTGTTATTCTTCCAGATTTTTAGGATGAGATTCGGATATTCAATCTGTGAAGGGTTGCCTACTGCTCAGACATGCCGGGGAGGAAGACATCGATGTACCACTCGCGCTGAAAGTCCCCAGGTGGAACTAACTTCATCGAACTAGTAAATTTGAAGAAGCCGAGCGACTGTTTTTCTAGAAGGCTTTCAGCGCGGGTAGACATCAATTTCTAGAGAGGAGAAAGAACGGCGTGGTGTAGATATGTATTGATTGAGCAGCCGTATTTACCCTACAGCCTATGGGATGAACGGGCCCTCAGTCTACACTTCTAAGAGCTATGTGCTAAGTACTACTAGAGGCTTCTGAATTGTCGCCAGAGGACCATGTTCTTAGAAATTGACATGAGACAATTCTTCAAAGAATTAATTGCTCTGAAAAGAGTCCTTAGCTTTCTTGTTTACCCGGCACGAACCGATCGAATTTCTCCTCTCTCGAAGTTAATAATGGGTTATGATTCTTAGATGAGGTCAGAAGACTTGTCCCTAATCCGAATCTCATTCTAATTCATCTGTGTGCCATTGTTGCTATTGATCAGACGAGAACTATGATCTCCTAGTACGGGTATCTGTTCATATGACTATTTCTGAATCTGGTTTTCAATGAATTGTTTTTACAATTTGCTTATGTGATGGCTGAATCTGTTTTTTTAACCGATTCGTGTCGGCGGAAACTGCTTTTCGCATATTTGAAAACAAAAAAAAAATTCTGGACCGTCCCTAACAAACGATTTAAGAAGTTTCGACGGAGCAGTACTGAGCGATCTTTTCTTGGATGCGCCCATACATTCGACTTCGATTCGGAATCGCTGCCATAATTGAGTGTGTATCACGTCTCTGCAAAGAACTCCAGTGATTGGAAGATTCTCAGGTTAGCGTTGTAATTTCTGATACGAGCCTGGTAGCACTTACACCATTTTGAAAGAGTAAGGGCCATAACTGGTAAGGCCGGAAACTGAACGGATGGGGTTTGCTACAAAGAATTGAGCATCTTCGCTCCGCCTTTGAATAGGTAAGTGTCAAATAATGGATGTTAAGTGATATGAAGTGATCATAAGTGATAAATAATCTATAAGTTATTAGACGGTCCAATTCTGAGTTTTTATGATCATACTTACTATAATTGATGGTTTCGATCATCGACTGTTACCTTCGAAATTATACGGATTTAATACAAGGTCCCTCTTTCGAATAATAAAATTTCGGGGAAAGAGAGAAAGTAGATTCATTCTGTCATTGTGTACAATTTAATCAGGAATCAGCTTATATTTGGGGAAAATATGAATGTTCATCTTTCCTGAATATTGGCTTATGCGAACCGGACCGTACGTTACTTCTTTTTCTGAGGCAAATAGGCCGTACCCATGTATGAGTCTGATCGATTCTCCAACCCAATGGGCGAAATGATTGCTCGATCCCGGCAGAAATCAATGTTTTTTTTTGCCCTGACTTTTGCATAGCCATTTTACCAAAATATTTTCAATGTAACCTGTACATATGGTAAAGTACGCTTAATTCTTCGGCGCCATCACTGTTAAGTGCTCGCAGCATTTTTGCTTGGTCATTTCATACCGAAAAAACCATTATCTGATAATTATTTCGAAAAAATCCACGCAAATTCCCTCCTCTCCTCCTCTCTCTAAACCTTTTCATATCGTGGAGTTCACTACATAATCTTCAAGCTCATCCATCCTCTTCACACAGCGTCTTTTTTGCATAATTCATCAGTATTTGTTATTTATGAACTAAATAAATAAGTGATCGAATAAATAAATGACTCAATTTGCTCTCAGCGGATAATTCGGCTTACAATTAGATATGAGACCAATGACCATGCTTTATCTGCTAGGGATCCACAGCTTCCCACGTTCTACTGGATCGTTCATGCTCTTCCTGCAGCTGCCAGAATCTAAGCCAAAGACCTTGAGGCTCGTGATACCACAATGTTCCATCACCAAGATAGTGGTTTTATTTTTGCAGTCCACAAAGGATTCGAGTCATCCTTTTTGAGTTAAAAAGTGGTTGTTAGTGGAGAATATGGCATTGGTGACAAAGAAGGGGAGGAAATGTTCAAATTCCACGAGTTATAAGCCTCCTTGAAAATTGAAAGCTGTTGTGCGAGTTTGCCGCCTCGGATATGATCCTAAAGAGGTACTTGGACGAGATTTCAACCATGTGCAATTGCGTAAAGAGCTGGCTACAGTTACAGGCCAAAAATGAAAAAGGTTGTCTTTCAAAGGCAATAGGTAGTCACAAAGTCTCAACTATTTGTTTGAATATTCAACATCTGTGCTCCATTGTGAATGGTGCAGCATCTTCAACGCCATATGAACTCGTCCACCCTCGAATGCGGACATCAACGATCTTTAAGCGCTTCTATGCCCTACTTGAGCCATTTTTTGACTAGACAGTCCCTATATGGCATATGGTTGAGAGCCATAGGTTCGCCCTATTTCAAATCTCGGGAGCTATTACATTGTGAACTGTGCTTGCGGGAAATTTGAAAAAAAAATTGAAGAATATTGAACACATTCGATATTTACTGTGTAATCGGATATACGATCAACAATCACCTTTACTATATATAATCACATATAAAGCACATTGTTTCGGGAATCAATTGTATTAAAGAGTGGTAATAAAGGGGTCCTAAAGTAAGGATTCTAGTGGTGTCTACTAAAATAGTTTCCAAATTACTGTGACTACAAATTGCTCCGTTGAAATACGATTGCTTCATCTTCGTCGACACCACAGCTGTGGGACACCTCTTTGTCTTTCGCCTCAACTTCCAGACATCGTTTAATAATATGTTCAGTAGGTGTGTACTCGGCTGGTTGATCTATCATTTCCGGTGCTGTAAACAACTGTTTACTGTTAAGCTGTTGTTCGATTTACGCTATGACAAGAGTCCCAAAAGATGGTCATGGACGGAATTTCAACTTACACCTAGCTCTTACAGCAATCGTGCTTATTCATTGCGCTATACGCAGACAACTTACACAGCTTTTCCTAAGGCCTCAGAGATAGTATATATTGGGAAGAAAACGCGAAAGTCTGTAGACTATAGGAAATATAAAGCTTCAAAAAAGTTGTGAGAAATTGGTCCTACGAGATTATGTGTCTGTAACCGTCTGGGTGTCTCCACATAAGTGTGCTATTCGTCGGCGTCCCAATGTTTCATTGTGAGTGGCGCTGCCTTACCAGGGCTGTCATAGCGCGGACGCTTTTAGATGTGCACGTCGGCTAAGCCGGTTCTGAAGCCCTCATCACCTATCTGGGCCGTTTTTGACCCGACAGTGTCCCATGTTCTACCCTTGGAGGTCACAACTTCATTTCAGGAAGCAATCCTAAGAACCATTTTATCACCAACTATGTCGTTCATCTAGCAGGTCTACCGGAGGCAGCAGAGCAAGATACTAATAGATTAGACTCCCAAGCCTAAATGAGCTGATGTAGCCCTTCCTAACGGAATTCTTCTCAGGTATGGAACCACAGTTTCTCAACATACCGTTTTCATGATGATCTCTGAACACATAGGTCAGCGCTCTAGCTTTTCGTTCGATTTCCTCGACGGTCAGATTGTGGTAAAGTAGGAGGGGAAAAAGTCCACAAAGGGATCCGCTAAGAAGACCAAATAACTGCAAATGAATTCATGAGAAGGAATATGTAATTGCTACATGAAGGAAAACGAGCCTTTGCCCAATTCGTTATTGTTTTGACGTCTTTGTTGTTCATTTGCTCGACAGAGAGTAGCGGATACCTGGAACAACGACCTCCAAGAGAAGGTAGACGACGGTCATACTTGGCGAACAAGCAGGGAGGCCAGCCCACACTGCCGATAGTCAACGAATGAAATAGTGTAATCGTGGAAGAGACGGAGGTGGGTAGAGAGCTAACTACTGGGCCAGGGAGATAGTATAGGCATGGAGGAGATGTAGAATGGTAGAGTAGTTCCATACAGGGCGTAAATGGGAGAGTAAACCCAAATAATAGCGACTGAAGGAGCTGTGTATAAAAAGTTCGCCAAGTATGGTCAGACATTTGAAGAGAATTTTTTTTGTAGGCGACTGCAGACTCTATTAAGAGATACGAAATTTGTATTCTATCTAAGAAATATATTTTAACTAAATTTTATATCAGATAAAAATCTTTCTTCAATAAAAATTACTTGAGACCAAATCGTGTTATAAGGTTGACGATGTGAACTTGGGTTTGTAATAGAACAACGCTTGTGAAGATATTTCCAAGAGCAGCTGCGCCCATAATTGACATACCGTAGACGGTAGCGAATGAGCTGAAAAAGAGTCACATTAATGATGGATGTATTATAGATAATTTTATAAAAGTAAGCAAAACGAAGTTGCAACTCGGTTATCGATTTTTCGCCTACGCCCGCTGCCTGACCGCTCGCGTCTTTTCATGGTGTTCTCTTCCCACTTCTTCTTATACTATCCAAGTGATAACTTTCCAGTAGATCCCAAGGGTTGAATTTTCGTGTCGGAAATGTCGGAAAACTCCTCCAAGATTTTCAGAGAAACTTGGGAAACGCTTTTACAAATTTTATTCTGAACCATCCAGTAGCGCTTCCTTTGCTCTAGTTTGGTCGAGGCCACTGGTTTGCTGTTTCTATGAAAGAGCCCCTGAGATATTCCCGGGCGCTACATAACCGCTGTAGTGTTTGATATGGAGATTGTAGAGCAGTTAAGAAGAGCTGTTAACTACAATTGACTGATGATTTCTAAAGTGATGCATGCTGATGATTCCAGTCCATGACTACTGTAATGATTGTATGGTAGGTAGGAAACCGAAGGGACACATTGAACATTACCTGTGAACATTACCTCGACTGACAATGAGGTAGCAACATGTTCAAGAGGGTTAGACCGATTTTTTAGTCAATTTGCTATATTTCAGGCCCTTATTTGTGTTTTTGAAATAAGCACCTGTTAATACTTTCACCAGCAATAATCATTAAGGCAGTGTCGACAAATCCGAGCACATAGGAAGATAGTAATGATACGTACCTGAATTGACATATACTCTATCAAGAAAATACGCTCCAATGATGGATACTCTTCCAGTGGGTGGAGGGGTCGGTGGAGTACAGACAGGCTGCTTGCAGCAATTCACGGTATGGGGACTGTCAGTGGTGTTTACGGAATTATTTCGTAGTTTCCGGTGCTGTTACACGACAGAAAGATGCCAACCGAAAATCAGCTGATCGGATCTTTGGTGGGCTCTGTCCTCGATGCGGCACCCATCTGTACCGCACCTACTCCTTACTTTTTTTTTATTATGGATGTTAGGCAAACCATATTCTGAGAAGATCATCGTTATGAATTTCTGCTTGTTGCAGCCTTTTTTGTTCCATGTATTGATCAGCCACTGAAAATAGACTGATCAAATGTCTATTCAGAAACTATGTGTGTGACATTACATTCGATTTCTACCATTCAGAAATAGGGCAAAGCAATGAGTGAACCGATTTCTCCTTCTTGAAAATTGGAGGACTGGAGGATTCACTCATAGAAACAATTCATTTTGTACCTTCTAACATTTGGACCATTGTCAGTGCTAGCGGAGACCCTCTCCCAACCCGACCCAAGCGTGACTTCGAGTAATTTTCGTGCACAGCGAATTGGCGCTGTAAATTTGCTCTGATTCTTACTCAGAGTAACTTGTATTCTTACTCTTTTTACGTAAAGCATCGAACATCAGTCTTCTTTCCGTGATGCTCAGTTCCTCGGCCATATGCTTTGCATTCTTGGCATCTCTGATTCCGTGTGGTAGGTCAGTGCCAAAGAGGCGAAGATTTCTGGAATCCTCATAGATGAAGCAGTCAGGCGCTGTCGGTTTTTTAGTGGTTCGGTCGGTTGAAGCAGTGAGGTGCTGTCGGTTTTTCGGTCGGTCGGTCGGTCTGTCGATTTGTATGCTCGTCCGTCATTAAAAATCCCCAATGATTATGGTCAAATGAGCTCAATTTATGGAGCACCTACCACCAGCTAAGGCGCTGAGGAAGATGCTCAAAAGATATTTGGATCCTAACCGAAGTTTCGCTATCACTGAAAAATTTCTAGCCGAACGGATACGAGGCTACCTAGCGCGACCCTAGATGGCGGATGAGGGAGTAAATCGTGGACCGAACATTACCTCTACTTTCCCTGAGACGCTGGTGGATTTAGGGTGTGAACTCCCTGCTACTTTTGTTGAGTCAATTTATACTTTCCGTCTTCTCGCAGATGTATCCATGCTGACATGCGTGATGAGTCTGCGGGTGCGATGGTATTCTGCACATCGGTTCAGCCGAAAGCTTACATTCGAGTGACTATGGAGAACTTCGGGGGGCGATTTGGAACCGCCTGCAGTAACTAAGCTCTTTTTCCACGCTGAAAGGGCCCGGCTAGCTACTCGGAGTCCATCCACCCCTCACGTCGGAGCCTGGCAAGCTACTCTTTGGGCCTCATTCCCCTGAACCCGAAAGACCCAATACGACAGTGTTGAGTAGGGCCGCTGAACTACCCGGAAGAGGCTGTTAAAGTCTCAAGGCCATATTAGGACAGTTTGATAGTATTACTGGATATTATGGTTTTTATCATTCGGTATCACCCAACATCATTTCATTGTCTCACAGCTTTGTTACCGGCCTGTGCCTGTTGAAATCGAGCTGGCGCATGATGCACATTGCCTACCTGGGTAGCGATAGGATAAAGGGGGCTTCATTCGTTTCAGGGGACAAAAGAACCGTTCTCATTGAGGCTACCAGACGAGTAGGACGTACGTAAAACCGCTAGGGTAAAAGGAAATCACTCAAGTAATTACGAGCGACTATCCTTCATAATTATCCGATTTCTTATTTTTATGCGCCCACTATAAACCCTTTTACAATGCCGACTGATCCTCCATGACATGATGACTTTAGGAAGACTTATCAATATTTTGCTTTGTCTTACAGATATTTTTCACAGTTCTTTCAATCTTTCTCTTATCCCTTCCAGTTAAATTCATGATTCATTTCACCTCTTCTGCATTTCTTCATCAGAAAGACCATTGTCAGCCATTGATCGTAGTGATATCCACCAAAACCTTTTCAATTTTTTGCAGTTCAATGAATATCTTCTTAAAAATGACGTATGGAATTTCACTGTAGAATTCACCCGAAAACAAATCTCCCATGCTGACTCACCTAACAAGTTTTAAGTGCAACATGTTACAATAAGCATTCGTACAAAAGCTTGGTAAACCGTCTAAGAAACAGCTAAATATCAAATGAGGCATACCTACCTAGCGGTTGAGCATGAGCAGCTGTTTATCCTACTCGATTGTTTATCATTATATTGGACTTCATTGTAGCGATCTTACTTGGGTTGCTTTCACGTCCTGTTAGCACGTGGTTTCCGGAATGGGAATTGATTTTACGCGCCTATGAAAACCGATTGAAGTAATTCTAGACTTTTGAATATAACATTTAACTTGACTTACTCTTGTTAATGAACGGTCGCTTTTGAATAGAGGATATCCTAAGGACTATAGACGCCATTCTTCGTATTCACGTCCTTCATGCGACACCTACTGATTTCCTTCACTGAGGGCCTCCTTTAACTAAAATACCAGTGAAGGCGGTGTGACGGACCTAATTTACTCTGTCATGAGTCGCAAAAGGCTCCAGGGTCCCTCTTTCTGCTTACCACAGACAATTTATATTTCTTCTGTCCTTGTCAAGGTGTACCATGCATGAATATGTGGTGAGTTCACGGATGTACTGTTTGGTCGCAAGGGCAAGAGTGCCCAGAAAAGGATGATCAAGGTCTCCCGATGCACGCAAAGGTAGAGGGGGATCCGGCATACCGACCTCTGTTTTTTTCTCATATCATGGGTTTCGAACTTTGCAAGATCGAAAAAGAGAGCCTTTCAAAATAAAGGAGTGTACTCATGCGACCAGAGGGCATTATAGTAATACCACTGTGGCGGCATGTTACCGCGCCCATCATACAATGGACCGAGAGAATCGGCTTGCTCATGAGCATTGCTTCCCTCGGCAGACGCCAATGATTCTTTCCAAAAGTACTCCTTTCTCGTTCACCTCGATAATGATGCTCCTACCAGTGCTGTCTAAACTTGTATATAGGTGTATTCAGTAGTAAAAGCGTTGCTGAAGAGCTGTGATGATGTTTCTTTCTCAGTGGATCAGTCATTTTTTCTTTCTTCTTCTACTCCCTCTAAAAGTCACTCATATGTTGGCAGTCTGGCTAATTTTCGTGTCGGATTGGTTCTATGGTCCCTTTTCCGTAAATTTGAAGGAACAGGAGCGAAAAAATTGCAGTACAGTATCTACGATAGGAAGCTAATCGCCTTTGACATACCGGCATTCATCTCGATTCACTGTCTCAGGGATTTTCACGGGAATTCACATCGCTTCGGTTGCTTCGATTGCCGATATCTCAATTTTCCAGCCAGTCTCATGCACATTGTTCCATAGTAGCGGTTGTTAGATTCTTCAGCTTCCCGTAAGTCACCCGGTGACGCACGCCATCCCTGCCGCCTATACCCATTGAGTCATCCTTGGTCTTTCTGTCCTTTGGTAGGCATGAATCCACATGTCCGATTATTTCCCATCCATCAGCCATCCCACGTTTACTAAATGCCTAATGTTTCCCAATAGTACTCTGTAATCGTTCTATTGTGTTGTAGTGCCCAGCAATTTGTTATGACATGGGCTTCCTCGCCTTCTACTGTGCCCTTTTTCGCAGTAGAGCAGAAGAATGGGCCCGTTTGAGACAACAGCCCTGTCATGCTTTTTGACGTCTGCCATAGTCTCATGCCGATTACGGGCAATACTCGTTACTGCCCTCGGTGAATCGTTTGTAACGCCATTTTAAGGGTTTTCATGAGCCATAGTGTATCAAGATAGGGTACCATCGGCCTCGTGACGATCGGTTTTCACGAGCGGCCGTTACAAGTTCCGTTTGCCCGTGTTCATGGCTTTGAAAGTATGAATGTTTATATTTGTTTCATAAGTTCTGACTACCTACAGCACCCTTTTCGAATTAAGTAACAGCCTGAAGACTTTAAAAATGACCAGTTCATTCTGCCATCACTTCATCTTACCAAGAAAACCTAGGCCCAACGGTGTAACACCGGATGCTATATGGTGTTCCCCACCGTTCACCAACTCAGTTCACTCAATGGAATTTTTTAAATAAATCAAGTCAGGTCCGTGCTCATTCTACTTTTTGTTCGACCAAGAAACAGCAGAATGACGAGCTACTGCCCAACTTGTGTACCTCGTATTGCTACCTGTTGTTCTGGCTAAAGGAGCCATTTCCTCCCCTCTACGGTCCCGCAGAGGTGATTTATTGGTACGGAACACGTGCAACTGGTTGCCGAAATGCGACACAGTTTAAACCCTTGTAAAAGTCTACGTGAGGTTGAAAAGTGCGACAATCTTTTCCGTCTCTCACGGCTTCTTTGTTCCCCATCTGTTCGTCCTCACTACCCTGTATAACAGTTTACGTGTCCTAAAAGACGTGCTGATCAATTTTGAAAATGCGCCTTGCATTCGACTCTCAATAAGATCAGCAAAAGCACCTGTAGTTGTCCTAGAATGATTTGTAATCGCCAGTTTACTTTGAACCTTATCTTTTCTTTCATCTTGGGTGTAGGAAAAGGCAGCAGCCATAGTTTATACTGTGCCTGCTGCAATCCGCCATATGCTGCAAAATCGCCATTGCTCGATTACCGCACGCGTGAGTCACGCGGGCGGCAATCGATACGGTGCCATGCTAGAATTGAATGTGCTGCAATACTTGCCAACATGGCTTCAGATCATAGGACCAGGAGTAGAAAGGTAAAGGGAGTTAAAGATGAAGCTTAAGAATTTTTGAGCGAAAAAACTCATTATACGGCTGGCACTCAAATACTCGATGACATTTCGAACTTACGAAGAGGTGCATCCGCATCCGCAAGAAGGCTCCGATCACCCACAATGCTCAATGGTGGAACCTTCAACCAGTTCAATGAAGGAGGAGCGGAATCCAGCGAGACTGCGTGATCCTGCAAAGACGCGGTATATACACGGCATCGATCGCCGCACGCGTCACTGCGAAGGCGGTAGGGGGAGCGTCACGGGCGTGACTTATACAGGGGTCGCACTCCGAAGATGGAACTCATTAGTAGCCTGAGGGGAACGTATTCACAAACCTTGCTAAAAGCAGCGTATCCTGCTTATTTTTCTACAAATGGTTCAATATCAGCCAGTAGAAGGAATCAAGGTGGGAAAACGCACTTGGATTGGACAAGACGGATTTTAAAGTCCCGTGAATGTGTTATACAGTAATCCGGAGAGACATTCAAGCACCCTCAAACACTGTCTCCTATAAGACACAATAAAAAGGTACCTTGGATGTGGTCCACAGGTGGATAACGGGTATGGGGGAGGGTTACTGTATCACACGTTCCCGAAACTTAAATCTGAGTTGTTTAGAAAGGTAATTCAACGCTGTTACTTTCTCTACAGTAGCGCCATTAGGACAGAGTATAGCCGGGAAGGTCAGATTGTCATCGCAAGTACTGACTGGTACTCTTACCCCATTACAGAAGTGGGAAGGCAGAGGATGAACAGATACAATTGCTTAAGCGTTGTATGTGGTGTGCTAGGTAAGATTGCGTACAGAACGATCTATTCGGCGCTTATTTCTATTGTAGCCACTTTCTGCCGCTCCTTTTACGGTGTTGTTGGTCTCACAGATTTTTTTGCTACATTCATTAGTTTTCTTGCGTCTTCAACTCAGAATAACCACGAAATTGGTCTCTTCAGATAATTTTCTCCCAAAACCCATCATGGTTGTGCGGATGACGTTAACAGGCGCATGCCCTTTGAAATTTCGATCGAAATAGTGCGCTCCAATGCGATGACGGCTGAGCCTCGTGACGCGGCGAACGTGCGAAATAGAATGAGTAAAAAACGTACACAACTTCAAGCTTACTGTACTGGTACTCGAATGAGGTTTTTGTTTGAAACACTCGAGAAATTTCCCAGCCAAAGTTGCTGATTCATCTCCCATGTTCACCTAGAACAACCATTTTGCTCATAGTCCTTGTCTTGTTTGAAGGCCGTCGAGGATGGCTTCGATTTCTTTGTGTTTTGATGTTTATCATCTCTCACTCATTCCAATCAACCCATTCCGTGACTAATTGTTCTGTTTGATTACTAGTAAAACTAGGATGACATGATGATGAGGCGATAAAATGATTGATAAGCTTCGCGGTTGTTTGGAAATCGATCGATTTCACCTCAGCAATTCATGACGCTTTTTTGCCGTCCCTTTTTTCCGTGGAATGATCGATGTGTCGTATTTTCTACCGTAAGTCATGTCTGACATTCTTTCTGTAGTGCCATTTCTAGGCAAAAGCGGATGCAAACAGCAGATGGATTCGGACTTGACGGTGGTCCGCCGGTGGGGGCAATGCCTCCGCCTGGCTCACGTCTTGCGAAATACCTTGGAGGCAATAGGACAGGTTGGTAATCTTTCTTTGACAATTCAGTTGTGATAGTATAGTGCAGTGTCATGGATATCACGGTCGAGGCCTTTGCCATCATAATTGCTTCTGAGGAATGCTTACTGCAGGCATTTTGTGGCGATATGTTCACCTGTCATTGTCTCCCTGGGCGCTCTAAGGAATAAAGAAAAAAGTGCAGAGTTCGAAGATAAAAGCACAAAACTGCCATCTTTGGGTTTTTTCCATTTGCGGAGTGATTGGTACACCTCTAGACTTGTAGAGCACCCTGGCCAGCGCTCTCAGTTCCCTGAAAAGTTTTGATTTAGTGATTGAATATAGATATCATGGAAGTACTCCTGCTCATCTAAGTTTTCTACAGCTTCACAATCAGTTGGCAGCAAAAATTTCCTTGGACATTCTAAACATTTTCAAAATTGTGCAGGCCGATGATATTTTAGTTTTGACGGGAATCTAAACGGAGTGCATACATTCATTGGCTCATTATTACATACAAACTCTAACTCCTAACTTCTCCATATACAAATGTTATGGTCACAAGATCACATAATTGTCCGGAATAATTAAATAGAATATGGTATAGCGACAAGGCTTGGAATAATAGGTAGTATTTCATACAATGTGTTGCATTCTGTACATATCCGTAGTGAATAAGAATTCTTAATAAAAAGAATTCTCTGCTTGTTGCGGGTTGAGTTTATGGGGACTTCATCTTATTCACACAGCAACTATTACCCATGCTCGATAATAGTTGCCCGGTAAATGGGGGTTGAGTTCTTGTTGCCACTTGAAATGCCATTAGATGAAGGCCTTGATGGGCCAGTCATGAGAATAGCATTCAATATTTTAGCTAGTGGTGCTTAGCGACACTTGGCGAAACAACTTTTTACCCTACTCTAACCTAGTGGCTCTGCCTAGCGCCGTTACATCAAACCAGTCTGCTGTTACAAATAAAAATGCGTCAGATGTCGTGGTTAGGTACTGAATATATGTAAGTTTTATCAGAAGTCTGGAGCATTGCTTTCCTTCAGATAGCTTACTCAGAAAATTGAATTTCATATTAACGAGTAGGATAATTTCTTCGATTTCCGCGAAAGTAGTAGTCCCTCGAATGCTGGAGGCTGCAATTTTGTTTTTTATGATAGGTACGGTAATTAACGAGAAGTAGTGCAAAAATGGGAAAAATTTTGAGTAGCTGGGCATGTTTCATCGCTTTACCTAGTGTGGAGCAAGTTTCTTAGCGTTAAAGGCACAGTTCATGATAAAAAACTGTTTCTGAGATTCCCCCACAGGATGAATAAGGGACCCCGCGTATGCCACATCTGGCACTATCAGGTTGGAAAACAGCCTAGTTAGGGAGTTATAAAGGCTCAAAGATTGGCCAGTGTACCTCGGACGAGTTTCACCGGCATTGTAGAGGCTGCACCGATCGCAAGGAAATCATTGCAGGAAGTTCAAACAACTTGTCGTGACCCATAGCGACCGTTCTGTACAGTTCTGGCTTGACGTAGTCAGCTCTTTGTGCAATTGCAGTAACTGAAATCTCGTCCTAATACCCTTTCCATCTTATTTCCATCATGGCAATATTGTCCAACCTCTATTTCTCCTACTTTTGAGGAGCCATATTTTTCTTGAAATCGGCCAATTCTGTCGCTTTCTTCACTGCTAATGAACTATTCCGAATCTACCGCTTTTCGAATAAAAGTGGTCCCTAAAATTTTCGTGAACTGTGCCTTTAACATTTAAAAAGCGAAGCGATCTGCTTGGAATCTCGTCTTGATAATTATATCCAAGAGGACTGCCATCATGCTCAGGTTTTTCGGTAGATAGCTGATTTGGAAATGCTCTGATATATTTTTTTATTGTTTCTACAGCGTTACAACGATAAGTACGATGCCGTGGTTGAGATTAGCCGAAATCGGTTTCGTTGTTTGCTTTTCGATTTTTTTTTTCGAATCTAAGCTTATTCTCCCTCCCTATTAGGCTTTTTTCGGGGTGCATCGAGCGCAGCATTCTTTATTCCGCGTCTTCGCATTCGATGGCGACGCAGTAGCTATGACGAATCGACATTATTTCACGCGAAGGCGTGACTGAGCATTAAGTACGCAAACCGCAAGACTGTTGGGAAATTCGAGATGCCGACATATGATGTTCTCTGTAACAATGTCTACCGTTGTTATACCTCACGTGATCATCGAGTTTGATTTTCTGAAGTGCTCTTTGAATTTTGATTATTTCTGGGGCAGCAGTGTTTACTCCATTTTCTCACTAGAATTTTTGTTTCAGGCGGAAGCACCGGCCTTCACCTAAATGCAAATGTAAGTTTTTTTTCATAACTTCAGTATTTGGAGTATTATTGACAAATAGGAGAATAGTGGGTTTGGGTGTGCAAGCCAGCAGTAATTCAGGCAAAATCACGTACATATATTATATCATGGATCCCCAATTATACCGCCAATTTTACTGGTTCATGAGCATGAGTTGGTGAGATCCCTTTAATGAAGAGATGTGAAGTATTGGGATAACTTTCGTGGCTGATTGAAGACTAAACTTCATTCATCGTTTTTGGTCTTTCTTTCTTAGATCTATATTTGAAGGTACCTACATTCATACCTCATTTTGCCCAACTGGGCCTTGGTGACATGCAACAACCACCACCACCAGGAAAACAAACGGGCTCTCATTCACCATTCACGCCGCACCGGGCAGCTCCACCATTTCATACTGGTTTGTATCTATTCTTGCCAATTTATTGTCGAGTTATCCTTTGCTAAGTGAGGGCCTCTCGGAAGCAGCAACGCCCAAACGTCAAGCGTGGTTCGAAACCAGCTCTACGCTAGCTTGCTCAACAGCAAGATATCGGATTTCATTTTCTGAGATGATGCTTTAGGAAACGTTAGCAAGTGCAGGGCTAATGGATACATTTGGCTTCTGTTGAAAAATGCTGATGTTCTCTTTTTCTAACAATAACTGCCAAAAGAAAACCTAAAATTTCATTTGGCGCTTGCTATACTGAGTTGTCAGCACATTTTGACTTGCCCCGTTTAGCCAATGCGTCATCCTCAGCCAACCATGCCGATGCGTTGTCTCTTTATCAGGTAATTGAGTTGCTTACTTGTGGTACGTTTACCTTGTTTTCCTATCGGATCTACTTCTAGGAAAACCACGGAGGAACAACATATTTCTATCCACATCAGCAACCACCTCAAACGATAACCACTCCTGATTCGACTGCTGGAACCACTCGCGTAAGCAGTGCATCAATACACGAACAAGTGGTTCCAGAGAATCATACTGTTGTTGTAGGTTTCTATGAAATTTTTTTCTTACATATGTAAAATACCGAACAAAAGCAGGCACTCGTTAAGCGAATTAGGGAAAAGATTCTTTTCCTCCGAAAATTAATTTTTTGGGGGGAGGGAGAGGGTTGTATCGTAGCCGTATTTCTTGCTCCAGTTCTTGTCAATTAAAAGGGTTACGGAAATAATTAAACCCTGCTGGAAGGCGAGGTTACGTCGCTGCTTGCAAAATCACCTGAAGCAAAGCATTTTGTGCCTATGTTGTGAGAAGCTATCAGGCGTTACTCCTCAGTAAAATGAACTTACAAAGAAAGCTCTGTTTTCCCTGCAGGAATTCGATGTTTTATGAACGTTTTCTTTCCAAGATCAGTGACCTAGTGTCATAAAGTCTTTTTCCCTGATTTTCTTTACCTAAGCTTCTAAACAGTGAATGAGTTCAAGCAGACATCTTGTAAAACTGTATCTTTTCCTACAGAACACCAACGGCAGTTTTTCCTACCAAGGGCCTGTGCCACATATAGGGAAATTTCGTCCAAAAAGTGTGGCAAGTAACAATATGGCTCAGTTTATTTCACCTGATGTAAAAATGGTAAGATATTCTTAGTAGTTTCCCCAGCCTACATGAAATACCTCAAAATTTTCAGGAATTAGTTCATCGACAGCTTGCGATGGAGGCTCGAGCAGATCCGATCGTTTATCCTGATCTGCCGCAACAAGTGGGTGGTTTATTGTTTATGTTCAATCATTTTATTTCAACGCTGTAATTTTGAAGTGACGGGGGAGCAAGAGAAAAATGACACCACGCCTAGGTAGAGCACTTCAACCAGTTGGTCCCGTTAGAACAGATTAACCAGCACCATGCCACCCAATCCGTTTTCAAGGCGGTTTCCATACGGGATGGTGTTACGTACTGTATAAGAAGGCTGCATGGTGAGTTGTAGAATCGTTTTTTTGCTTTTTCTACAGCCTTATCAGTGAATTCCTCCAATTACTGTCTTTGTTAATATGAAGAGATTGTAATAGACAAAATCCATATTGAGGCTTTCGCATTTCCTCTCCAAAGCAATTGCAACCGTTAGAGACGTGGAAGAAGTTGGTGAATGTCAACGTTGTACAGCTGCGAGAGGTGATTGCCAACTGCAAGGCTTTCGGTGACAGTTGTGAGTTTTATGTGCTCTGAACCTACTATTTCTTCTTCCACGAAGAAGGCCTCGTTCTTCTTATTGATGCTGCCCCATTATTTGGCCATAACATATACTCCCGAAGTTCTCCCGTCCTGTTTTCTCCACAATCTGCTTTCAGTGGTTAAAAAAACGTTTGGTTTTCTGTATAATATTTAAAAATCGTGTAAGTGATCAGAACTGGATCCCTCTTTTTTCTGAAACTTTTCCTTTTACCTTGATTGAAGTGCTTCTTTCAATAATTAAGCCTTTCTATGTTTCAGCCGTCATTCTTGTATACGACTACCACCCTTTGGCGGACTCGTTAAAAACTCGCCATTTTGGCCGTATGCTTGGTAGCGGTTTTATTGATGGAATAAGTATGTGTTGTTGTTATTATTGTTTTTGTTGTTTGTTTTTTAGTCACTCATTAATTTTTCGAAACTGTTTCCTTTCTAGCTGGAGCTAAAATGTCGAGTCAGCTTTCTGGGCACGCCTCAAACCAAATGCAACAAGGTGCTGGAGTGGTTGAGTGGTTGTTGTGGTCATATGTAATTCAACTCTCGTCTGCACTGCGAGCTGTTCATGCTAACGGTCTCGCGTCCAGATGTGTAGATCTCTCAAAGATCCTCGTCCACGGCAAAAGCAAGGTCAGCAATTGAACGACTATTTTTATCTCGGTACTCGAACTACCGTTTTCATAGAAATTTGTTCTCTTTGAAGATTCTCTTGAGTTGCGGTGGTGTAGCCGACCTATTAGCTCCTGACACACAAGTCCAGCAGCTACAGGTGACAAAATTTGTATCGCATTCGGTCACAAGCCGATAATTTCAATGTGTTGCTGTTTCAAGATGGAAGATCTCCATGCTCTTGGTCGAGTGCTCCTGGCCTTGGCGACCGGCAATGCTTTCTCAGCTCGTCGAGATCTCGTCCAACAGAGTATGACATACGTCACCAATCATTATAGCAGTGATATGAAAAATCTCATAAGGTATTCCATCCTTACAATTTGAGCTAAATGCTATGGTTTTGAAATTCGCACTTTTCACTCATGCGCAACGGTGTTACCGATTCAATCAGAACCAGATTCCATGCATTAGGCAAACAATCGATATCGTGCGCTCCTATTTGTACGCTGCTTATTAAAGGTTAAATTCCATGAAAAGCCTTTTTTACATTTGCTACCCAGAAAGTCTGCGTTTTCAACTTACTTACTAGTTCAGTCGATTAACATTGTACACGTATGTTCAAATCGTAATTGCAATTAATCTCAATGTTTTGCTTATCTTAATGGTTAGGGTTTAATTTTTAAAGGATGAGTTTGGAAGTGTGTCTTTCAGTTTCCTTCTTTCGTCTTCGCCTACGGGTCGTAAATCAATAAATGAGATTATGCCAATGATTGGAGCACGTTTTTATTCGCAGCTGGAGACGGCTCAAATGCGAAACGATATGCTTGAGAATGAACTCAGCAAGGTAATCTGGTTTACTCAGTTTCTTGAATTGCTTTTCTAACGTTCTGTCAACTGCACTTGCATGAGTTTCTGCTTTTTGCACTGTACAAATGACAACTTTTGCTTTTTGCATAGGTTGTCACTTGTACATATTTTGCACGGTGTTTGGGGTAAGATAAACGTTATTATTGCAAATTCTACGGAATTTCACTTTTCAGGAATTGGAAAATGGTCGATTGTTCAGAATCTTATCTAAAATCAATACAATTGTTGAGAGACCAGAGTGAGTGCCTTTTCCTCGAATGCACGGTTTTGAACATCTAAATATATGCTTTTTGGTTAAAGTACATGATGTTCAGATTTTCAGTGATAGAAAATGATTGTCCAGGTTTAAATTTAGCTTTGTTGAACCATCGTTGCGACCGGAGTTTTTTTTTTTGTTTGTTTTGTAAAATTTTCTATTTCCAGACACAATTTGGATCCCACATGGTCCGAGACTGGTGACCGTTTTCTGATCAAGTTGTTCCGGGATTACGTCTTTCATCAAGTAAGTCGCTATAATTCTGTACTATATTTATTACCTCCTCCAAAAAGCCTTTATAGGTAACTGAAAGTGGCAAGCCGTGGATGGATATGGCCCATATTGTCCAGTGCCTTAATAAAGTGAGCCCGTTTCGTTTTGTAGTCTTGTAACAATAGCCGCACATGCAATTACTGATTGGAATAGTGATCCAACCTAATGTGCAGTAGAACATCAATCTATGTTTAAGTGTTCATTTGTTATTTACATTTACCTTGATACCTTTAGCTTGATGCCGGTGTGTCCGAGAAAGTGCAGCTTGTGTCAAGGGATGGAAATAATCTCATTGTCGTATCATACGGAGATCTGAGAAGGTAGTTTAATGTCATGCTTCAGACAAAATGGGTGTTGTTGGTTGTTGGCAGGGACCATATTTTCATCTTTCATGTGTTCAGGTGCCTCGAGACAGCCTTCAGAGAATTGAGTACTACGCCCTCTGTTGTTCCTCGTCATTGATTGTTAGCGTTGTATGGCTTGAAGTTATTTGTGAGTAATGATTTTTGTCAGCAGGGCTTGCTTATGATATTTATTTATTTTACATCGTTTTAAGGTTTCCTTCGTGACAATGAAGTGCTCGCCTTTGGGTGCAGCTGGTATGGATTCGATGCACTCAACCTCGGCTGTATTCTATGAATGACTTTCTCCAACTGTAAATATTTTGTTGGTGGTTGGTGGCAGTATGCTTTTTGCCAATGTTGCTGTGGAGGGCAAGTAGATCTGGACTGTCACTTTTCCTCTGTCTTATTGTTTTTCTTTCTAAAGAGTCGTACTACTTTATTGGGTAGATGTATAGTCGCTGTATGGTAGACATAAGTTCCATGTCAGGCGCACTTTGGAGTGTTACTTATAGAATTACTGGTCGGCTTCGACGACGGGGGTTGTTCTTCTATGCATTCTCAGGCGGTACGGCCCCTACAGAATCTAGCGCCTGGTATCCTAGTATCATTGTGTAATGTACGTGTTAAAGGTTGTTGCGTCTTGTTTCTCCTATTACCCGGTTTTGTTTTGGAAGATTCGGGTGGTAAGGTTGGCGTCAGGTTTCGGGAGGAGTTATGAACCATGAACGACCAATCAAGGGAATGGAGCAACACTTCGAGAGTCTTTGCCTTTATTTCTGCTCTTATCCTTTTGTTCTGGCTATATGAACCTGTGTGCGGCCAAAGAGGATAACTTTATAACCAAAATTTTGAACACCTCTCGTTTTAGTTCTAATACTTCCTATTTCTTAGTGTTTTTTTTTTGAAGGAATAGATGTTTTGATAAGAAAATTGAAATATGGCAACGTAGTTTTGGGCTAAGCTGGGAGAATACTGAAACCTCAGCTTTTCTCACGTTGAGAACTTTCAAGGTTCTGTTTACCCTACCCAGATTGGTTGTACCTTCATGTAAAGGATTGTATGTTCAAGAAATACGTTCAAGTGAGTATTCCGAGGGATAGGGAAGCTTCTCAGAAGTTTATTCGTTAAGTTCTTCTTTTGAAACGCCATATGGTATCCCTGGTTGGTTGCATTTGGCTTTCTTTGAACAGTTTTATTTTTCTTTTAAGTTATCCAGTTTCATTTAAATAACGAAATCACTTTCGGATAAAACGCAACCTTTCAATATTAGCTATATGATCGCTTCTAGCATTCTTATATGAATTATTGGAGGCGATCCTATGGTTTCACTAAGGTCACGTTTCTTTCGGAAGGGATTCAGAAGTTAACTATCCAGTATGCTCTTCAGTGCATGTAGTCATGTTGGAAGCATTATTTGGGACTCCTTCACATTTTGGGCTGTTCATTGATAGCGGTTTTGATGATTTTTTTAGCAGTAATTTTGTAAATAGAAGTGCAGATTTGGTGCGCTACTGTTTTCGGCTGATGGACGGTCCGAAGTGTGAAAAGATTTGTTTTGATTTTGATGAGTAGCTATTTTGTCGTAAAAGTACCCTGAATTCAATTATTTTCGTTGGTGATATTGGCCCCAATATTATAAACTGGTAGTTTTCACTATATTCTCTAGTGTAGCTTCTCGAATACGACGCAAATACGGTATTTCTATTGTCTGCTATTTAACCTCAGTCTGTTTTGTGTTAAATTGGTTATAGCGTCGGTATTTTATTTTGCCTTTTCCATTGAATATTTCCTTAAGTGTTCTCGGTGCATGAATTTCGCCATATTCTACTCTTTGTTATGTCACTAGGAAATGGCTGGTGGCTGATGCACTATACTTTCTTTGTTTCTTCGACTTATTTTCAAATTCGATACCGTACCCTTTATTTTTCCCATGCTTCTAGGATTCTGTTGATCCTAGCTCTTATAGTGTACGCATAATTTGTTTCCTTTACAAAACCAGTGTTCACGCGTGAATTCGTTTTAGAAAAGGTGTCGTGGCTGCTGATAATTACCCATATATTGTGATCACCCGTTGATTGTAATTATCGACATTTGTGATTGTTGTGATTGATTGGATATAAGAATTTCATGCATTAGTTGGCCTGTTCAATTTTATCGACAATGTGCAAAAAAGAAAGGTAGATATGACGAATGCGCTATTTTTTCCCTTCATTTTTAAGCTGTCATGTAATTAGAAATATCGTTGTTGGATCGCAGTTTTACATGTTTTTGATCGTGTTGTCTTTGATCGTTTCATCAATTTTCCTTTTTTTTGAGTTTTTTTTTTTTTGGGAGATCTTAATTACTCGTACACATGGAGCATTATCTCATTTAGTGTGTTTTCGTCTGTTGTTTTCTATTTCTTGTTTTATACCGTGATGTTGTATTTTCTCTGTTGATTATTATTCAAAATCCATCGTAATAAAAATAAATAAATATGAAATATGAAGTTTTGAATGGTCTGCAGTGGTAATTTTCCAAGGAAGAACTATCTGTTTCCTAATTCATGGGTACAATTACTGTAGTCGATTGGCTTTTATAGTTGTTTACCAAATGCTCTTTTCCTACAATTCTTTTCAATTCAATGTTTTGTTAACTGCGGTTATATCCCGCAGTAGCGATGCGAAAGTCTCGCAAGAGCGGCGAGTTTTGGGCGAAACTTTGACTCCAAATGGGTCCCGGACCCGTGTTTGGGCTTTCCGGGTAAATGTTCTTTGTCCTGATAAGTGAGTTGTGATAGGCTATGTCATAAAAGCCACTAGGAAGGAGAGGGCAAGCGGAATCTCGGTTGTGTAACGGATTCGGGTTCGAATCCTACGGAGGCCGAAGTTTTGCCCACAACTCACCACNAACGATATGGGCTATTTCGGGCGCTAATGTTGGGGGGTCCCATTTCAATTGCGCGCGCGTGGGGTATAGAAAGCAGTGGCCTTCGAGGGTCTCTCGTCATAAATTGCCAAGTATTTGAGTGGGGCAGTTGTTGCTGCAGTGGTTGCTAACCTCCTAATGAGGTCTATTCGTTTCTCGGATCGGTTCTCAATTATACATAAATGCAGCCGACTAGGCTGTCCCCCATGGGTCAACAAAGCCGTTTCGATGTTCCGGCTCTTGCATACATAAACGACTAGCTTGTTCATCGGGCATTTCCATTGCATTTATTGATTCCATTCAAATGGCATTCATCATGGCGAGTACTGTCACAGGCTCAAATGCTACCACGTGGTGTGATTTAGTATCGCGATCGATATCTTTGCTCGTAAACCGAATCGCTTCTGAAGCATTTAGGCAAACGTCCCAACGCTGAAACGTCGTTGAGCGAAATTTAAGCGGTTCTAACGATTTTCTATAAATAGGTAGATAGTCCCATTTCATATGTGTCATCCTAGAAACGATTCTGAAGCCTCTGTTTTTTATTATTTGCCACAAAACTATCGTTAAAGCAAGGAAAATACTTGTAAAGTGATTAATAAGCAATATTCTAACTGGTTGTTAGTCCCCAGCTCAGATTCCTTTTTTTGCGCATGCACTGACCACGCTTTTACGCAGTGAGGAGCCAGTTTAGGTTCAGTGACGTTTTGAGTGGTTGTTATCTTTATTTATTATTATTGTTATTTTCTTCTTTTTCTTTTTTATTTTATCTCTATTTGATGATAGAAATCGAATTTAAGTTCCATTGAATTCTGTATTCTCCAAATGGAATCCTGCTCTGGAAGGATTTTTAAAGAACGACTTTCTAAACTTTCGGGTTTTTCGAAAAAAGGGCTTCTTTCAAGGATCGCTCAACTTTTTTCAAGCTTACTGCCCTCATTGTGGCTTTTTACTTCCTAAGCTGTACAACCGAAATTTGTAACAACACACTATTCGGCTAGCTTTTCGCTGCTCTCGGTTCCTGAAGGAGCCTGATTCGACGAAGGCCTTTTAAGGAATCAATTGGTCGGGCACTATTTCAATCTGCAAAGTGCATCGCGAGAAGTAAATGGTTACAACTGAGGGTAAAAATACCAAAATACACTAAGAGTCAAATTTGGACGCTATTTACAACTTTTAAATGTATCAATGTAAAATGCACTAAAAGGTTGTCTATTTATTGCCATTTGTTATACCTTTTATCTTATGACGCGTCATGTTGTTTCTCTCTGTCCCATGCTTTACCTTTGAAACCCTCGTCGTCTGCGGCTCACCCCGCAGTACGGATGACGAACGTGGCAAGAACGTCACGTTGGGTCGTCCGCTGTGATTGTACTATTCCTCCATAAAATGTGATGACCCTTTCGGCAGCGGGCAAAGGTCGTTTGTACTTCGATGAACCACAGGCCAGTAATCCGCCCATATTTTATGCCGCCATCCTTTGACAGATTTGGCTTACTTTATATCGAGCAAACTAGTGCCAGACTGTTTTACAGGCCTTAGGTTCCCTTAGGTTCTCTCGAAGAAATAAAGTCAGACAGTTTCGTCTCTGAGTGCTTTGCGAAGATTGCGTTTCTTCCAGATAGAGTTATCTTTTGAAGTAGTAGTAATATCATATTACTTGGAATTTTTTTCTTCATTGCCGGTAAATTTGTATTTATGTTATTTAGTCAAAGCCGCTGTTAGAGTTCTGAGATTTGGAAGTTCAGATAGTTGTTCATTAGTGACGACTAATGAAAAGAAGGTGGGTTCTTTAAAATTTTAGATATCTGCGCAGTTAGCTTCCATTTTTGATATTTTTCATTTAGGGGGTTTTGATATTGGATAGAGACAAACAAGACAGCATCAATTTTGAAGGTATTGATGCGCTTGCACTTTTGTTAGTGAAATTGTTTATCAAAATGGTAACTGTTATAATACTGTCAAACAGATTGGATATAAACAGAATTCACTGATATTCCACACGGTGGTATTGGAAGTCTACCGTATGCATTCTATCCAACACTGCAAACGCTGAAATACATCCTGTTGTGAGGAAGGAAAGCACAGATAACGAGTGTAGCCTGATATTCGTACACAACTTTTTTAAATAGGAGTGGACTAATATTGATCACCTTGAATAGCTAATCCAGGGTCAATTTTATTTACAAATGTGAATCTCTACTTTGAATCCGTCGAAAACCATGCATAGCTTATAGAAAGGACCCCAATTTACCAATGACTGCTTTCGAATTCAAAAGTTGTTGTTGGGAAGAAATGTACAATTGGAACTTCTATAAACGGATAAAACATTGCGAGGGGATGGCCAGAATTCATAAGTGAGGGCCGCTTAGCTAATATGAAAAAGCGATGTGACCAAATTTGGCTCATGACGCGAATTGTTGAGTCATATTGTTTTTATGCCTTTCTTTCATAGTATTTCTCTTCCTTTTCACTTATTTTTTATGGTATTTGAATTTTGATGCATAATGAAAAAGTATAAGTACAATAACTAGAGTGCGTGTAAACCTATAATGATAAGAGAATTGTCCATCGATTGGAACGATAGACATAGACTGAATATCACGGCGAAACAGTTGACTAACTAGTTTATGAAATGTTTGAAATTGTTAGTGGAAAATCTGTTAGGTAACGAAAAAAGATGAATTCCAGCTTTTAACCCATTGACGACCATGCAGTCCACATGTGGTCTGCACTTATTTTTTGTTTTATTTATCTAAATTTCCACTTTCTTTCAATGCTTCTTCTCAAGACATTACATAAAGCCTAAATGAAACTACATACAGCGTAATCCTAGAAAATCTTCTAATTTTGCAATTGTAAAGTTTTTTTTTCGAGGGAGTACATTACCTTGGTGAATTCCTCATTCGTTGAACAATTTCAAAAAATGAGATATTTTGAAAAGACGGTCGTCATTAGCATTTCCAAATGCAAAGCTCGTAAAAATTTCCCGAAACGTCTTCTGGTAATGCTTAACCCATTGGCCACCGCGCCTTTTACATTGTCCATACATTAACTTTTAATTTCTCTTATAACTGTAGTTGGGGGTGGATGATTCCTGGACCACGATACCTCAAGATTCTCTAGAAGGTTGTGAGCTCAGCTGATATTTGAAAACATGAAAAAATCATAGAACACTTGATAAATAATATAAATACTACAGAAGCTCGATATGGCGTGGCCCGCCGGCAAGCCACGCGGTCGTCAGTGGGTTAATTTGAATTGGAGATTTCGCATTTTTCATTAGCATTTACCAGCATTTAGTAACAGCATTGACAGTAATTTATTAATTTATTTCTTTATTCATTCATCCACTTATTTATTACGCTATACTTACTAATATCAAATGTAATTAACCAACTTCGGCGTTTTGTAATCATCTCGTTAGAATGCGCTCGAGCGTGAAAGTACAGTAGTTTATCATTCGATCCAGTCTGATTGTCAACGTCTGAATGCTCTCCCACGGTTGTCTCGAACTGTGGTGATGATGAGATGTCAAAAGATATGATGACAATTAGTACAAGACAATAACTTGTCCATCAGTAAATCTTCCTTTCCACACATTTAAGCGATACACCGCCTTATCTTTCTGGCCGTTCACGAATGTTCAATGTTCTAAAGCTGTTGGACGCTGTGGGTTGTAAATACAGTTAATTACGCATGAAGGATATCCGATTTCACCCGGCGGCTAGTGGTGGTGCCAGCAAGCCGCTTAGTGCCACTGCCGATTCCCTACTGACCAACAATGCGCATGTTAATCGCCACTACCATCTATTAACATGTCTACCTCTCTGTTGTCATGTTAATACGTGTTAACACCACAGTTCCATTTCATATCCACTTGTTTGCTCATGATTTTCCATGCCGATATTGATTTTCTGGTTGATTCGCAGCGTTTTGCAAGTCGCCATTTCGCGGATATTTTAAAAACGTGCCCAGTGCTTTTAAGTGATCGTTATTTCCATATCGGTTGTTTCAGCACTGATGCGACTGCTGTGGGTAGACGTACGACAATGGTGCCTAGTATTACTGGTAGTAGCTACAGTGGTAACAGAAGATTCAGATGAGGAAAAGGTAACAGGCCGTTTTTTTAGACTGTTTAGATAGTTCTTGTTCAGTTTTCCTTACAGTTTTTACCAGTTTTTTTTTCATTTATTTGTTACTTATTTGTTGATTCCCTTCTTTGAAAGCACGAAATTAGCGATAGCACAGGTTTATGGTGTCTTATGTGCTTTTATGGTTTGCTCTTGATGTTTGTTTGCAATGAAATGTGTTATTATTACGTACTGCATTTATATGAGGTCGAATTAACTAGGAATCCAAAAAAGGTTCGACACTGACACTGATCATCGAACAGATTTTGCAGTGCTATCTCGAAATTTTTTTAAACGACCAAATGGTGTGATTTTAATGTCCAATTAAAACGGCGATAACTCAGGGGTGAAAAAAAAACAACAAGCTGGTTCTGAGGAAGTAGCTGGAAAAGTGCTCCTTTTTATAATGAAATTTAGCCGGTATCTAAATTCTTCTTTCATTTCACTGTGAAGAAAGGTTACTTTCCTACGAAATTGAGCAGTGATTCGGTTTCAAATATGTGTTGCTTTCTGGAGCTCAACAACCCGTTATTCACAGATGACTAGACCCTATAGATCCTGATTAAAAAAGACGATGTACTATCAGGTTTTTCCATAACATATTGCCAGCTGTTAATGTAGCAGCAGTGAGGATTATTAGGGGTGTTCTAGTGTTTGTATAGAGGTTCTCAATACACCAGTCGGATCGCCCGGCTAACGCCAGGCTCTCCTCCTTCTTGTGTCGAACACCCTGACCCGAGAAATGTTGAACTGAAGAATTTTATTCCCTTTTTCAAAGTTTATAGTCTTTAAGTTTTTTTTTCATATTCAGCTGAGTGAGGGTATGAAACTGAAACAGAGTTCCCTCTTTCTTCGATAGTTGTAGTAAGCCTAACTCCCCACTCCTTTTTTGGAACAAATGGCAGTTTCCTGTACACGAAATTTGGCACAGGACTAACAAAGCAGTGCAAATGGTATTCGGTTAAAGTCGGCGCTTACGCCTTCGATTGGAAGTCTCGGACTTTTGCTCTCTATCTTTGCAATAAATACCTATCAAAAAACCAACTGTTAGACGATCAAAGATGATGCTGTGGAGATGTTCTGAGTGATGATAGCAGCGTTATCAGATTTTTTTT